CAGGTTATCACATAGGCTTCCATAATTATCATAGCTTCCTTTGGTTTATCATACACATTCTAGAATTTTAGAAAAGCCAAATTACCTAGGGTTATTACATACTTCTTTGAAATGGCGACCACTCCAGCCAGTCCCATTGAGGTTATTGCCAATCTTAGCCTTGTGTCACTGATCGCTTACCTCCACCCACTGTTCATCAGAGTAGAGCTTGAGCAAGACACAGGGGTGGGGCTTGCTGAGGGTATCACGGTCCAGAAGCCCATGGCAGGACACACGAAGCTCCACTCTGGAGGCCCCTAGGGTCATAGCTGGGGGCTCGGGTACCCATTCGAGCTCAGATTCCGACATAGTCCTATGGGGAATGTGATCCAGTGAAGTAAACAGGGGCCCACAGAGACATATGGGTCCATCCTTATTCTCTAATAAGTTCTGGCCCCCTCAAAAAGGTTTTGAACATTAGCATATATTACCCATATTGCCTAGCACATAAACCCCTTTTCTCCTCCTAGAGCGTACCCCCCATCTCTCTTCTCCCCACTCCACCCATGCATGAAAGTCTGGAATAGCCTGGCTGGTTCCACATCTGGTTGGGGGAAGGGGCATTCTCATCTCCAGGGGAATGGAGTAATGAGATCCCAGCTCTTAGCCAGGACCGTCCCTCCCTCTTCTGGTCTTGGAGGAGAAGGAATATCTCTGCAGAATTCTTGAGCCCTACCTCCCACTCCTCATCACCCCTTCCATAGTGTCAAGGAGACGTGGAGAACGCCTCTACCTCCCATCCCTCCTGCTCCCAAAATCCTTACTCAATTAGGTCAAGTAGCCGAGCCTTTCTTGAAATCAGGATGCTGATCAGACCTAAAGAGAGAGAGAAAGAGAAAAGGGCAACTGAGGAATGGACAGGACTCCCTTGTTCCCAGTTGCCTCCAAGAGCTGAGACCATCTGAGTTTGTCTTCCTCTGGGTCTGGGTGTCCCTTGCTGGGGGGAGGGGAGTCCTGGAAGCTGTGGTGGATAGTGGGGTCATCGATTTCTCCTTTTTGCTGCCTCAGCACCTTCTGATCATTTCCCAACTCTGAGCCAGAGGCTGCACTCAGCCTTGGCAGGAGTGAGCTGGGGTGGGGTGTTCTGAGCTGGAGGCAGTGAATGGGCCACTGAGGCTTCTGGAGGGCTGAGAGTTGGGGAAGAAGGGAGGCAGGGGCATCAGGAGATCCAGGTTCAGATGGTTGGGGAAAGAAGGTGGCTGAGTCTTGGGTGACGCCCACTGGGTTTGGGAAAGTGTTGTCTGGTCAGGGTTTGAGCTGGGGAGCTTTCCTCCACCTTTGTGCCCCTGGACCTATATCAGCTCACATGGGCTCTTTGAGGGGAATGGGGTGTAGTGAGTTGGGGAAGTTGGGGTCACATCCCCTCCCCATCACACACACATTGAGAAAGCTCTCTGTGTCCCTGGCAGGAGCTCCTACTATGACAAACTCTCTCTCTCTCTCTCTCTCCCCCCTCCCCACCCCAAGATGTTCTCACACTTCCCGGCAGCCTTGGCACTGTCTCTTAGCGACAGGGTTTTGGGGGAGCCATGGTTCCCCTCCTCCCTGCCCACTAGGTTCTGTCTAACTAGGCTTGGCTATCCAGCACTGATACCCAGTCTTGGACTCCAGCTCTCTCTCACCTCCCCAATTCTGGTGCCAAGCCCTTGGGTGGCAGTGGGTAGGTGTATGCTAGGGCCCGAGGAGGGGGTGGAACTGGGGACCTAGGGAGTGCATGTTTCTTGTGTCTGTGTCTGTTTGTGCCTCAGGATAATAATGTCTGTGACACCCCCACTCCTTTGTGAATCTCTACTAGAGTATCAGAGAGTGAGTGTGTTGTCAAGCATTTTCTTGTGGGTGCACATGGCTTTGTGACTCCAGGACTATGTGTCCTTTTGGCTGTGTGTCTGTCTTTTGTTAGGCATAAATGGTTGTGTGCCCCTCTTCACTATCACCCCCTTTTTCTATGCCCTGTGCCCATCTCCTTGATTGTGTTTCCCTCCCTGGGTGTGTGTGAGAGTGTCTGGGTGTGTTGTTGGGCTACAGCACAGGGTGACCTGTACCTCCCCACCTTCCCTCAGGTCTTCTGCTCCCCCATCTATGATTTCCTCTATCTGAGGGGTCCCCAGACCTAACCTCCAGGTAGGGGACATGGGTGTGGGGAGGAATGGAGCAAGAGGAAATCAGGGATGGGTAACCCCCCTTTAGAGGGTTGGGAGGTATTGCCATGGAGACTGGGTCAGGAATAGGGGGGCTGGTGGGGGCAGTGCTCACCTGTGGGGGTCTTGGATAATAGGGGGGGCTCCCTTTCTCTTTCTTGCCTTGCTGCTCAGCTCGGCCAGCTCCCTCGCCGCTCCAGCCGCTGGCGCCAGCTGAAGCTTCTGCTCTGGCTCTGCTGCTATTTATGGGGCCTGGATGGGGAGGGGTGGGGGGGCCGCAGCACAGGCTCCCCCTCGCACAGACAGGGAGGGGAGGGGCAGGGCCGCCGCCCAGGCAGCTGCAGTGCTTGGGGAGAAGGGTGGGCTGGGGGTTGATGAGAGACCAGGACTCCCATCGGTACATTGACATACATACTCTCCCTTGCAGACACACAAACACACACACACACACACACACACACACACACACACACACACACACAACACGCACAGAATCACAGCTAAACATCTTATCACAGTGACATTTGCAGGTACACACAGTGACACATACATAAAATAACAGTGAAATAAACACAGTGGCATTCAAGCTCACATGTGCCCTGACATACACAGTCACCCTCACTTAAACACAATGTAACACAATGTCAGTTATAGTTAAACCTATGGGACAAGTACATGTATACAGTGATGTATAAACAAGCACAGGCAGGGATGCTCACAGATATATTGCTACACACGGAATCTTACATGTGCACATGGCACCATTCACAATAATAAAAGAGAGGTGCCCCAAAATATTTCTCACAAACCTATCTAAACCCAGAATGCAATAATAATAACTGACATTTATAGAACATTTGAAGGTTTACAAAGTGCTTTCCTTATTTTATTCCAGTGGCCAACATATAATTTTGATCAATTATATGCCCTCCCTCAGATGACACATCAATTCAGTTTTATGGATGAGTTGGGTTCCCCTGATCACTTTTATACAGGGTAACAGATACAATCGCTTAAGAATCCATAATGATGCAATCTGGAGACCCAGAAAACCAAGGGCCAGGGTCACCCAATGGGAATGAAAGAACACTAGAGGACCCACAAAGCAATCTGAAATTTCATTACTTCCCTCTCTGACTCCCATCATATGAATTCCAGATATGTGAAAGGCTGTAGTCCTGGGAGGTACACTACCACCTACTGCCACAAAGAAACAAAGGAAGCATCCATGAACCATGACACTCAAGAGAACACGATCAAACCCCTGGTGAATAGAAGCCTTTGGCACATGGAGAAAAGGAACTTAATAAGTTTGGGTTGATTGAAGGATAAAAGATACGCATCTGCTGGATAAGCCTAACAGCTTTTAATAACAGCACAATGCCTGGCACATAGGAGTTACTTAATAAATGATTTTCTTTCATTCAGCAACACATAGCCCTGCACACTATACTGAGGTAAATGACCAATTCTGGCTCCTTCCACACCATTTAGAATCAGAAGAGTATGGGTTCAGAGCCCAAGGGGACATTAAAGGTTATCTTGTCTAATCCATCATTTAATCAAAAGCGAAACTGGTGCATACCCTCTTTCAGAACTTACACCCAAAATTATTGTCTCTTCTGTGGCACAGTGGAAAAGAACCGTAGCTTTGGAGTTATAGGATGTAGGTTCAAATATTACCCATCACTTGTTACCTATAAAACATTGGGCAAGTCTCTTAATTTCTCTAAGCCTGTTTCCTCATCTATAAAATGGGAGAGGGGGTTGGACTATCAGGGGTCAGCAAACTATGACATTGGCCAAATCTACCTCCTCCCAAAACTTTATTTAAAAATGTAAAAACCATTCCTAGCTCTGGAGAAGAACAAAAGCAGGTGGCAGTCTGCATTTGGGGCCATAGTTTGCTAATCCCTGGACTAGAATACCCTGAAGGACCTGTCTAGTTTTAAAGATATGATTCTCTGATGCTAAATGGTGTGGAGGGACCCAGGATAGGTCAGCTTTCAACATGGCACCCAATGGACAACATACAGAACATCATTTTTATTATTATTATTATTTTAGGCAATTGGGGTTAAGTGACTTGCCCAGAGTCACACAGCTAGTAAGTGTTACGTGTCTGAGACCAGATTTGAACTCAGGTCCTTCTGGCTTCAGGGCCAGTGCTCTACCCACTATGCCACCTAGTTGCCCCTCATACAGAGCATCAGAGGCCCACCTGACTGACCTATATCATCCAGGCAAATGTACAAACACACAGGGTCATGAAAACACAATTTCCTCCTGCCCAGAACATCTCTTCCATGCATGGCCATGCCCCACATCCTTCCCCTACAAGTTGCTACAACTGTGTGCCCAAGACCATACATTAGGCACAGCTTCTGCCCATCTATCTTCCTTTGAATATGTCAGATGCCTCATGTGTCTTATTGTCATTGAATAGTCCCTAATTGAATAGGCTTGCTCCTTTGATTCTATCCCACCTCCCCCACCCCCATTTTGGGGAAGGCATAGATGCTGCATGATTCCTGCCCCTATTGGTGCTGATTCTTTCCCATTACCTTAAATCTTCTTGCCAATCTCTCCCTCCCCACCAGAAATTTTCCCCCTCATTTGAGAGGGGCTGTCTGATTTGCCATTTCTTTTCTCAGCAGGGAGATGGGTGATTAGACCTGGGCAGCTGCAAATCTGGGGGAACTGCTGGGAACTGGGGTGAGTGTGTCTGTGGGGAAGGGGGATGAGACAGCAGGGTGATGGGGGCAGTGGGTGGTAGAGAGATTCAGAGGCGGGTAGTCATTTTGGTTTCTTTATTCTGTACAACTTAAGAGAGATCCCCCTGGGGGTAGAGGGACAAAGATCCACCCCCCAACCCCACCCATGAGGAGGGAGAAAAAGCTTCTCCCTCCCCCCACCACCAGAGGAGGAGAGACAGAGACAATCCCCCTTCCCACTAAGGAGATCTCTTCCAAACTCTCCCCTCCCCTCCCCTGCCCCTAAGGGGTCAGGCAGGAGGAGCCTGGAGATGCTGCGGGAAGGGGACATCTGAGTCTCTGTTAGGCACATGGCTGGGGGAGGGGGAATGGGGGGTGGGAAGAAGGTTCACTGAGGGTAGTATCAGTCTGTTCCAAGTTCACTGGTTCCTGCAGGAGACAAACCACAGGAAGGGTTACGTTCGGGATGGAAAGGGTAGCAAGGCGAGGCATGGTGGGAGAAGGAGCCAGGTCAGCTGGCTGACAGACAGTGCTAGATCAGGGCAGAGGACTAGGGGCTTGTGGGGTGTTGGGGTATTCCCATGTCCCACTCACCCTCTCCCCCTGAACCTGCAGGGTCCGGGGGTCTGCTCCGGTCAGGTTCCAGTTTGTCACAGGACTGTGCTCTCCGAGTCCTCTTGGGCTTCAAAGGGGCTGCTCTTCGCCCCACACTGGGAAGTCCTGAAATAAGAATTCAAACCCCAGCGGGTATTGGGTTCATTCCCTATGCTATTCAAGGTCACTTTGGTCTCGCGCCTCCTGCCAGAACCCAGCTGCTACACAAGATGGTAGTCCAGAGTTCCCATTCCTCCTCTTCTAGGTTTGGGGTACCTGGAGCAGATGGGAAGGGACCTCTAGATCCCCCAAGCTGGAGTCAGCTCTCTTAAGATATGCCCCAGCCCATCTTGTAAACTCTTCCCTCCCCCTCTCAGTTGGTCCATTGCCCCCAACCTCATCCTTTACCTTGGGCCTCTGGCTCCTCCTGATCTCGATGAGAACCCAGCCTCTGCCGGGGCTTGGTGGCAGTTGGGGCCTCAGCATCCTCCCTGCCCCCTGCCTCCAGTGGAGGCCTCCGGCCCCGGGGCACGGCTACTGGCTTGGGGGGTCGAGGAGCTACAAGGAGATCCTGAAGGTGGGGGACACCAAATTATGTCAGCCCCAGTTCCTCACAGGCCCTTGTCCCCCTCCTGTCTCCCCCTGCTCTTACCTTGGTGCTTCGGGCCAGAATCTCCCTCTCTGAGAGCAGGACTCCCTCTTCTCCCTCCCCTTCAGCAGAGGCTGGGCTGGGGCTCTGCCTGCTGTTGTTGGGGGCACTTTCCTCAGCTGGGGGGGGAACAGGAAGCCAGGAGAATCTGTCAGTTGTCTCCTCCTTAGCCATCCCTTTACTCCTGCTGCTTCCTCAAAGCCCACACTTGTTCCTTCCTATCAAACATCGCTGCTCCACACAGAGATGGTCTAAGGAATTCAGCCCCCAATTCCTTCTGTTTCCTCTTGGCATCATCCTGCTACTTGCCCTGCCTCCAAAGTCCCCCAATCCTGGGTCTCATCCTGCTTAAGGGCTGCATGGAATATGCCAACTCTGGATTCAGAGGGAAGGAAAGGGCCTGACCACATGCATAACCTTCCCACTGGAGCCACAGACTCTGGAACCTACCAGGCCCAGCCAGGAACTCTAGAACCTACCAGGGCTCAGTCAAAAACCCCAGAAGCTAACAGGGCAGAGCTAAGCACCTCAGAACCTACCAGGAAAGAGCCAGGGACCCCAAAATCTACCAATGAAGAGCCAGAGACCCTAGAAATAACTGGGGTTGCCCCTCTCAAATAGCTCACATTAATTCTATGGGCCACTCACCAGGCTGCTGGTTCTATTTTATTTTATTTTAGGCAATTGGGGTTAAGTGACTTGCCCAAGATCACACAGCTAATAAGTATTATGTGTCTGAGGCCGGATTTGAACTCAGGTCCTCCTGACTTCAGGGCCGGCGCTCTATCCATCGCACCACCTAGCTGCCCCAAGGCTGCTGGTCCTAGAACGATGTATGCCAATCAATTCAGCTCATTTCTGCTTCTGTGGAATTTACAGCCTTTGTGGGATGGGTCTTCAACCGCTCTCTCTCCCCCTTCCTCCCCCGCCCCCAATTCCCTCAGTGGCTTTATGCTCAATGGTAGGAGTTGGTATGGAGGATGGCTGTAATTGTGGTGGTAGATGGCAGCTTAAAGACAGACAGCTTGCTATTGTCCACATGCCTTTCTTTCTTCAGGCTGGGGACTCGTTTTTTTCTAGAGGTACCTGCTAGCTCTCCAGCAGACGGCGTCAACATGCTAAGGGTATGTTTAGTTGACACCTGGTCCTAAGAAAAGTGATTGTGGGTCAGGGAAGGAAAACAGCCTCTGGGCTTTCAAGAAATATGTGCAAGGATTTATTCTAGATGCTTAACTGGAAATACTTTCAAATGATCTGAGCCCTGGGATGGAGACTATTACTCTAGCTGAAGTGCTGGGAATACAGCCCTACCAGAGACTTAGAACTAGTTTGGCCTGATCTTGGTCTACTGTGTTTGTGGGAGAGAAGGAAGAGTAGCTAATAACAGTAACAATGATGATGATGATGATGACTCACATTTTTATAGCTTTATGTAGCTTCCAAAGCACTTTTCTTGTAACTACTATGTGTAAGTAGGTAAGGCAAGTACTATTATCCCCATTCTACAAATGATGCAATTGAGGTTTAATAAGATGAAATTACTTGCCCAGTTACAGAAATACAATATAAAACAAACCTAGATTCAATGTCCACTGTGCTAGGCTCTGGGGAACACAGACAAGTTAGATTAAGGGAGTTTTTGCCTTCAAGGAATCCCCAGTCTAGCAGAAGAATTTATAATCTCTAAATGTCAGAGCTAGGGCTTGAGCCCAGATCTTTTGGTTCAAAGTACAGGGTCATTAGGTCTAGTCTAGGTGATTTCTAGTTCCTAAATCTATCTATAAATCTATGATTCTCTGAGCACCTACCTCCTAGGCTTTAACCTCTCTATGTGTCACTGCTGGTGGTGGAGCGCAAGGGAGGCAGTAATAGTTCAATGAGAAACTTCAGAGAAGGGTATTCTAATGCAACAGATACAACTCAAAAATCTGGCAGTGGTCAGTGGCTTGTCTCCATTGACACCACCTTCAGGAAGCCTTCCCTGATCAACCTGAGTTGTTTCTGACCTTTCCCCTCAACTGGCATATAGCATTTAGTTTTGTCTCATTCTAATGTACCTATCATATACTACTGTGTATTTCTTTGGGTTTGCATCTTATCACCTTACTAGATTGTAAGCTTTTTGAGGACAAGCACCATAATCTTTCCAAGCTTTGCATCTCCCTTGCACCCAGCACAGCACCCTATACACAGTAGGCATTTAATAAACGTTTGCTATATTGTATTGGAGGCTCATAGACCTTGCTGCCTTGCACACAGTAGTCCCCTAACTGTTTGTTGGATTGGACTGATCTCTCTGCATCCCTTCAGCATATATGTATACATACGTACATATACACACATACACATACATACTCAATTTACGCTACAGGGGAAGAAAAGCTCATTTAACATAATCTCTTGGATAAATGCATTATTTTCTTAGAGTGGAATTCTGTTAAAATGAATACATTGTTGGAATTACATGCCCTAGCTTAAAGGAGTTGAAGGTGAAATATGTTCAATGAAGTTATTAGTTAAATAGGTTATGAAAAGAAGTACTGTGAACCTCGTAGGGGAAGGAGGGAAGATATCACATACCATTCCCTCTTCTCTGACCTTCCTAACATCCATTGCCCCACCTCTACTTTTCTTCCCCAAATAATATAGAATCATAAAACTTTGGAACTGGAAAGCTCATGAGGTATCTTCTGTCTCCTCGGATGAGAAACCTGAAGACTAGAGAGGTGGTCAATTGCTAAAGGTTACACTACTAGTAGCAGAGCTAGGACTAGTACCAAATGTGGACGCTGCATATTTTATCTAGCCTTCTCTCAGTGTATGCTGCTTCCCTTACTACACCAACTCTCAGATCTTGTGAAGTGTGTACTTTAGGTGAGAGGTTTGGGGAGAACAGGGTAGCGAAATGTTCGAGGTGGGGAAAACTGAAGGGAGCTCAATGATGTGTGAGCGGCTCTTCACAGAAAGACCAAAGGCTGGACTCTGGCTCTCCTTTCCCCAACTACAACTCAAAAAACATCCAATCAAGTGTTTTCTTCATAGAATGACTGATGCAAGGATAAAGACCAAAGAAAGCATTTGCTGTATGGGATCATTTGTTGTACTGAATGCATTATAATATGATTTCCAAAGCATTATTAGTTTAAGTTACTCACACGGCAACAGCTTTGCTCTACAAAACAAATCAATGACTTTGTTTTACAAAATTCCCTTTGTGAGAGATTTTTATACCTTTGTGCATTTGGTGTTTTCTAAATAACCTAGTCTTTTTAATATGTTTATGCCTTGTCCCACCAACTGGACTGTAAACTCTTTAAAGACAAGTCTTTTGCTCCTTTTTTATCTCTGTCCTCCACCTACTCCCCAACCCAACACCTGGCACGTAGCTCAGCCAATTTTGCTGACTGACTAAGGAAGCTGCCCATACCTATGTGCCATGTAGCCTCTGCTCGACGCATGGCGCTGAAACTTGGTTTGGTGCTCTGGGCAGGTGGAGGTGGCTTCCAGGACCCAGGCCCTGTAGGGGAGAGGGGAAAGGAGGTTGTAGGGTCAGAAGAGGCTGGGTAGAGTGGGAGAGGAGAAGAAGTAACTCTTCTTTCACCTGCATCGTCAGAAGAGCGCCGTCTCTGCCAAGGTTGGACACTGTTTTCCAGGTCAGTGTCTGTACCCTGAAATGAGAGCTGGGAGTTGGAGTAGTAACATGAAGAGGGAGAGCTTAAGGGTGACCCCTCAGACTTTGTGGGGGAAAGGAGACAGATGCCTCCCTCCCTCCCCTAGCTCCTTATAGCCCTCAGATTTTCTCACCTCTTGCTTCCCATCAAAGCTCCAGCCCTTGGCTCGACCCATCCCAGGAAGGGCAATTCCATGAACCCTTGTTGGCTGCATCACTCCAGATATTAGGACTCCTTCCCCTGGCTCTGCCCCCTCCATGCCCTGGAATAAGACCCCACCTTTGGATGAGGAAGGAAGACCCTGCTGCCAACACTGGTTCTGGGGTAAACAACTCCAACTTTCCCTGGAAGAGCTGTCCACCAACACTCAGAGATCCTCTCCTCACTTGCCCTTCACTCAATCCTCATTTTTTTTTTTTAGACAGTACTCCCAGCAGGTCCTTGGCTTTGCCCCCCACCCGCTTTTACCCCTGGACTTCTTCCATTATTAACTTCTAAAATGGGTGTATAGGGCAGGGACAGGTTGGACTTTCTATCTTACCTGCTTTCTTCTGAAGGAGGGTGCCCGACTCCCCCCCAACCCTGGGAGGGGGCCGCTTTCCTCCTCGGGACTCCAGCAGGGGGTGGAATTATCGCCAAGGCTTGGGGGATCTGGGGTGGGAGGGCTCTCCTCAGTTGGGGGTGGGGGAGGAGGTGGGGGCAGGAGGAGCCCAGGGGTCGGGGATCCTGGTCCCCTCTCCCCCTTGAAGCTCCGGGGGCGCCGGAAGTGAAACAGGCCTCGTCGTCTCTTCTTCTGGAGTGGGGGCAGCGGGGGCTCTGCAGGACCTGGGCCTGGGCGAACTGTCCTCAAGGTCCGGGGATAGCTGAAGAGAGGGGAGGACTACATGTGACATGCCTCACAGATGCAATGTTCACATGGTACAAATTTTTTTCTGTCTGGTCTTCTGTCTGTTTTTTGGTGAGGCAATTGGGGTTAAGTGACTAGCCCAAGATCACACAGCTAGTAAGTATTATGTGTCTGAGGCTGGATTTGAATTCAGGTCCTCCTGACTCCAGGGCCAGTGCTCTATCCACTGCGCCACCTAGCTGCCCCTGGGCTTCTGTCTCCCTGGAACTCCTTTTTGCTGGGAAGTTCTTCCTTATATCTGACCTAAAGGTCTCTTTAGGTAGTTTAGATCTCTTGCTTCTGGTCACTCAGTGGAGATGGTGTAATGAACCTTTCAGAGAACTGGAGCCTTCAGGTGACCCTTTGGCTTCTTATCTCCAAGCTGTCTATTCTTTCCAGGTTTGATTTTTCCTTCTCTCTAATGTCTCTAAGATACTCCTCTCAGCCCTCTTCAAGTTTTTCAGGCCTTGTCTTTGTTCAGCTGGCCTAGGCCTCTGGTAATGATCTGACCAGTGCCAAAGATAATGGCCAGATGACCACTTGGCTTTATGATCAAACATCACTGCCTTGCTCAGGAGTCCAGTGTCCTGAAAACCTTAGAGCGCCACACAAATGTGTGTTGTCAGAGTTGTTATTAGGTGCCTATTGGTACACTCCACTGTCACAGGCAACCTGTGCTTTGGGGCTTTTCTTCTTCACTCTACCTGTGTCTGGCCAGTCATTGTTTCTGGTATCTGAGTGGAGACTTTCTTTTAAGGTTGTGAGCCTTCTAGGGAATGTGAATAGGGATCCACAGAATAAATAATGAAAGTTGGGGATGAAGGAGAAAGGGGCTGAAATATCCCAGATATGTGGGCTCTGGAGGGAAGAATTTTGAGAAAATTATATGGAATGGGTCCCCTAAGAACCTGGGGAGGACTTTCTCAGACTCAGTTCTGTAGCATTTTTTAAAAACAATCTTCAGAACTTCTGCTACCAAAGATCTTTTACTACTTATAACCTACAGGTTTTTAAAATGGCTTCATCCTCCCTGACTCTTTCTCCCTCGCATCTGTTTCCCTCCTTCTTCTTGGCCCCTGCCAATGAACTTCTGAGAGCTTCTATGTAGGAGCTGCAGAGAATTTGGATACTAAATTTCTGTGTATAAAACCAGTTCTGCCTGAGACTATAATTCACAGTCAGGTTTTAGAACTTTTGGTTCCAAAACATCTTAGTTACATATAGTATAGTTTGGGTTGTGAAATGCTACTCTTGGGGAAACCCTTGAATGGGGTGGGGGTAGGAGGCACTTCTGAGGGAGCAGGCAGAGCTGTCTATGGGAATGAATTGGGCAGCTTAACCCTTCCCCTACGTGGGGCACACCTGGAACTTTCATCCATGACCCTCCGACTAAAGAAATCCTCCAGCCCCTCATCCAGTCGAGTGGCCGTCCCATTCTCTTGTCGGGTCCCAGGTCCTGGTGCCTGCTGGGAAAGTGACCACCATCTTAGCTTGCCTTCCAGTCCACACAGGAACTTCCTGATTAGACTCAGGCTCTTGTCCTTTCTTGGGCACCAAAGAAACCCGGAAGCTTTGTCTATACTCCCCGACCCCCACCCCGACCCGGTTTATGGGACTGAAGACCATTAGAACTAAAGAATTAAGACTAAAGGTTGAGGAAGGGACCTCAACCTCTCAATTTTACCAGTGAAGAAACTATGACCCTGGAAGATGAAATGATACCCAAGATCACACAGCGGGAAGTAGCTGAGTCAGGAGACCCCAGCATCCCCTGACTCCAAATCTATTGCTTTTTCTACTGTATTAGGTTGTTTGCTGCCTTTTGCCTCAGGTGAGAGAAACTGCTTTCCACTACTAACTGCTAGGCAATAGTTTTCCATCTTTGGTCTTTTTGGCTCATACTCATCTCTGTTAGAATTAGGACTTTCTGCTCTAGTTATTCATGGGCCTCAACTAGGGAGGCTGGGGGCTCTGGAATTTGGGGCTTTAAAGCCAGAACACTTAGGTCTGGAGTTACTAAGTTGCTAAAGACTGTCATGTTCCCCTGAAAGGCCCCCAGGGACTCACGCTGGGCCTGCCAGGCCCTGGGGGGGTGGTCCTGGGGGGCCTGGGCCGTCCTTGTGTCTGATGCCTCAGTTTGTAGCCATGGGTAGGCAGCTCTGACAGGCCCTCCCAGGAGCCACTGGGGGCGGGCTGATTGCCCCCTAGGGCTGAGAACCAGCCTGGGGGTACCCCCAGCCCCCCCAGCTGGCCCTCCATGTCCTGTGGACTCCCACCTGTGGGAATAGCTGTGTTAGAAAGGCTAGGGGTTGGGGAGTTGGGTTGGATGGTTAGGGAGAAAGGAAGAAACTGGGGCACAGTAGAAGATGGAGATGCAAAGAAAAGGGGGCAGGGAAAGAGGTACTGAGAAAAGGGGACATAGGGGTGGTGGGAGTGGGAAGGGAGGTAGGTTAGGGGTGGGAGTGACTCACTGATGAAGGCAGATACAGGCCGGATCTTGCGGCAACGTTTCTGTTTTTTGATAGCCATGGTATCCTGAGGGGAAGGGCAGGGTTAGAACACTACAGTCCTTCAGAATCCCTGTCCAGAGCCCCCCACTCTTCACAGGAACAAAGGCATGGCCTCCTCATAGCTCTTCCCGTTTCCCCACTCCCTACAGAGCTGAGGAGTAGTAGGGGGCAGGAGGACAGGGAAATCAGGGGGAGGAAAGTAGAAGACGGGATAAGACAGGGCTATGGGATGAGGTTAGAACTGGTGGGATGGAGTGGGGAGCAGAATCCAGAAAGGAAGGGGGAAGCTACAGAGATGACATGGGACAAAGCTGGTGGGGCAGAAGGGGCTGGGAATGGACAAGTCCACATCAGGGGCACACAGGGTTCAGTGCGAGGCTCACGATGTTGGTCCCGAGCTCATCATCTGTGGTCTCTTCATGGTCATGGCCCCGGCCCCGGCCCCGGGCCTGGGAGGACAGTTCGTGCCCTGGGCCTCCTCCGCCTGGTTGCTCTGAGAGGGTCCTCAACTGGGCTAGGTGACGGGCCTGGGAAGGATAAGGATGGGGGGCAGAAGGCTGACCCCCTTGTACAGGGGAAGCTCCTTAGGCCCTGTTCTTTTCTGAATGTCAATCTCAAGGAACCAGTCCATTACCCAAGATCCTTGGGGAGGAAATGTTGCCAGGCAGCAAGTCAATGGGACATTGTAGGGGCAGGGATATGGCCAGGGCCAGGCTAGAAGGTAGGTTTGGCCTAGGTTGGCATGCCTAGGTGTCCCTCCAGGGCATAGATCCTCACCAGACTCTTATGAGAGTGGTACAGCTCCTGCAGAATCTCATCCACTATGGAGTTGGTCAAGTAGGTGACGACCGAGAGCTTCACCTCACTGTGGACACACTTGGGGGATCAGCACAGCCACCCACTGCCCCCTCACTCTGACACCCTTGGGACCTCACTATCCCCAGATCCCAAACAGAGATAAAGGTCAAATTAGCTGGTTGCAGATGCCAAGACAGAAAGAGACCCTGGCTTTAGAAACCCAGCATTCAGATTTCTAGGCCTATTCTGTTAGAAGTTATATCCAGCTCTAGGTAGGAACATTAAAATCAGTTAATGATTTATTATTTTTAATGGAGATTTTACTCATTCATTATTCATTGTTGAGAGCAGTCCAGGGCCCCCTCTCCCCTAAGTACTCAGGTTTGATTATTTAATCTGCTCATGCTTGTCTCCCTTACTGCCAGGCCCCCCAGCTGCAACTTCCCTAACTTGCCCCCCCATCCCTGAAGGAGCTTACTCTAGTTTATTCTGAATGTCCTGCCCTGCCTGCTCTAGCAGGGCCCCACGGATGAAGTTCCTAGGCACAGTGACCCGTTCTGCCACGCTGCTCAGCATCTTGTTGTGGCCTTCAGCCACTCGCATTGCTACTGGGCACAGCTCCTGGGTCAGGCTGACCATTGACTCCAGGATCACCTGGGGTGGGGAGACAGAAGGGCCAGAGTCCACAGAGGGAAAAATGCAGCTCAGACAGGTTGCAACTTGTCTATGGTTATAGATCTAGTATAGCCAGCAGAGGTGGTCCTTAATCTCAGTACTTTTTTTACTACACAATACTGTGATACTGTGTGTGTGCTAGAGAGAAGGTGGGGGAGGGAGGGAAGAGAGAGAGGGAGAGAAAGACTATGAGAAAAAGGGAGAGAGAGGGAGGAGAAGACAAAGAGAGAGGGAGGGACACAAAGAAAGAGACAGAGACAGACAGAGAGATGAAGAGAGGGAGGGAGGGACACAGAGAAAGAGAGCCAGAGAGGGAAGGAGAGACAGAGAAAGGGAGGGAGAGGGAAAGAGAGAGAGAGACAGAAAGACAGAGATAGAGACCGATGGAGAAAGGGAGGGAGGAGGGAAGAAGAAAGGGGGGGGAAAGGGAGGGAGAACGACAGAGACAGAGAGATGGAGAGGAGGAATAAAAACTGCAGAATACGCTGGAAAAATACGTTTCGAATCAGAATACCTGGGTTCAAATTCTGGTTCTATTATTTATTACTCAAGTGACGACCATGGGCAAATCACTCAATCTCTCTTGGTCTCAGCAATTTTTCTGTAAGATGGTGGTGGGGTGGTGGTAGGGATGGGACTCCTAAGGGCCCTTCCAGCTCTAAATCTATGACCTATTATCCCCTGCTTTCCCTCCCCTCCAATCATATCAGCATTCAGAAGGGTGTGTGAAGCTAAAATCCAAAATGGAGGGTTTGGAGCCTGAGACCCAGGAAAGGATTTCAGATACGGTTTGGTGCTGGGGTCTCCCATCTACCTTTTTTTTTTTGTTTTCCTGGTACCTTCTGTTCAACAGTGGGATCCCCCTGGGATACGTGCTGGGGTTTCCTGTCCTCTGGGTGAGTATGACAGGTCTGCCCTACTCTCAAACAGGCTCAGGACTAGGTTTTGGTCCCTCAGTACTTACCTGCAGCTCCTTGTCCACAGCCTTGGACACCTCACTGGCCACTGACTCCAGTCTCTGCCGGACAGGCCCATCACTGGCTAGGACGTGGCCCAACTCATAAAGGCTTGGGAATAGCTAGGGGGAGGGGACACTGGTTAAGAGGCCAAAAACTGGCTCTGTTTCAGTCAGCAGAGCTTGGGACTTGGAGGAGAGCACATGGAGGGGAGCAACACTGGAGGTGCTGTTGGGGTGAAGGGAAGGTCTTAGATCTGGCTCCAGATGCTTTCTTGGGGTTTGCTTTGACTGTCCATCTCTGGTACTTTGGGCAAGGGGAAGAGAGGAGCTGGTGGGGCATGGAGGAGGCTGAGGTCAGGAGCCCGGGCTGTGGGGACAGGGTGGGTGGCATCTGCTGGGGTTTGGTGCTAGTTGGCAAAGGCCCAGCTGTGGAGTGCAGAGTGGGGATGCTCACCGCCCGGGAGTTCTTGGCATCCTTGATGAGGTCTCTGGCGTAAAGCAGTTCATCTTGTACTGGCTCCAGGGGGCACAACCGCAGTGCCCGAACCTCCTCCTGGACTCGCCCACACAGCCGCTGTAGCATCTGGGCCAGGGCCCAGCAGGGGGAGTGTCAGGGAGGCACAGGGTAGGAAGGGGGAATGAGTGAGCCAAGGGCTGCCCCCCAAACTCCATAGGGACCAGGAGCCCTCTGACCTCCCTTTGGGGCAGATGACTCATGAGTCTGGAAAGGTTCTTTTTGTCCTTTCCACTCTGGAGGGCTGTGACATAACATGGTGGTGGTGGTGGTGGTGGTGGTGGTGGTGGTGGGGCGTCCTCTGGGTAGGCTGTTGTCATTTTTTTAATCACTATTCCATGAAGCTCAGGATAGTGGGAGCCTGAAGGTCTCTGTGTATCTGAATGTATGCTCCCATTTTCCCCTCTTTCCCCTCCCATGTTTTTGTGTATTCTTGTGTTTCCCCACATACTCTAGCCCCATGCCCCCTATAGGTGACCAGAGGGAAGCATTTACTTGCTCAGCACTGCTGGTGACAAGGCCCTGCTGCAGTCTGAATGCCTGCTCCTGCGGACAGGTCTGCGAGTGGTTATTCCGGACAAGGCACCATTGGATCTAGAGATGCCAGGGGTGAGGGGAGGGCCAGAGGGTCAGGGCAAGGAGGCCACCCAAGCTAAGAGGCTCCTCTAGCCTACTCCCTTCACCATACCCCTCCCTGCTCCAGCTACACCCTCCTTGACCCTGCCCTGACTTCTACCTGGCCCTGGAATCCCACCCCACCAGATCCTTCCACCTTCTGCCAGACATCCTCGGTGCGCTCTGGGGCATTGCGATATGCCTGGGAGATGTCGCTCACAGGGAAGGACATGAAGCGAAGTGTGTGGTTGCTGTGGGAAGAGCCAAGAGGGAAACATTGAGGGAGATATAAAGGGGAGGGTAGCTCATATCCTTAAACCCGCTACCTCCCCTTCCCAATCCTGCTCCAAGCTTCTCACTCTTGTCCCTTTTTCTGTCTGCTCTTCTGGGTGAAGGACCTTTCCTTTTCCCCATCTAAGTGCTCTGCCTTCACCCCACCCCCAAATACCCAAGGAGTACTGCAGATTAGCAGCAGGGGAAGGATTACCGTGGGGTGGCTCGGGCATGGCCAAGGTCTGGCCATCTGGGATCAGAACATGCTCACCTCTCCAGGGCCCTTGCAATGTCCAGAAAGCCCAGGGCTGAAGTATTGTTCCGGTCCCACAAGATAGTCCTGGGGTAGCGGATAGGGGGAGGAAGAGGTGGGGAACCAAGTTTGTCATTCCTACTTTTGGGGACCTGGGTTGGGTGGCGCCCTGCTTCTGGGAGGGTGGTGAGAGATGAGCTATAGATACTGGGGACAGACTGCAACCCTTCTGTGAGTCCCCCATTCCTGACTAATAGATTCTCTAGGGGTTGAGGAAGAAAGGATTCTGTCAGCTGCTCCAGGGATGAGGTCTCTTAGAATTTGGGGTCTTCGGAGTACAGGTTAATGTGCAGACAGAGCCTTAAAAGTAGGGTAGCTAAGGCACAGGGTATTAGGGGCCTCAGGGAGGAGGGAATTTGAGCCTTCACCGGAGGGAAGAGTTGATCTGCAGGGCCTTAGACAGCATCTTGGCCCCAATGTCCTCCATGCCGTTGCCACTCAGGTCCACCTTGGCCAGACAAGTGTTGCTGCCCAGGGCATTGATGAGAATGCTGGTTCGAAGTTTCAGCCTTGAGTCGGCCACTGAGAGTGACTGCAGGGACTAGTTTTTTTGGGGGGGTGGGGAGGAGGGAGATTTGGTATCAGACCCATCCCACTCTCCCATCTCATTCCTCTTCAGTTCCCCCTGCCCCCGCCCACTGCACCAATAGCTTGGGTCCCTGTCACTCACACAATCCTCTTCCTGAATCAGCTGCACAAGTTTATGAAGGATTTCTTCCAGGGTCCTGGGGGGTAATGACAGGGCTCAAATGGTAAGAGGTAGAGGGAGAAAATATAGAGGGGACATAGGAGGGAAACATCATGCCCTTTGGGGTGGGGTAGGAAGGCAGCAAATCTATAAAAATGGGGATATTACTTTCCCTACTCATGTCACAAGGTTGTTGAGAGGAATAAATGAGACTGTGTGTGTGTGAGTACTTTGTAAACCACAAAACACCATACAACCATTTGGCATTATTCTTGTTATATGGAGGCTAGAGAGGAGAAAAAGGAGGTGAAAACATGAAAAGAAGCTAGAGTCCGAGATAAACCTGGGTGAACAGGGTAGATCTTTAGGGGAGATACCTAGGCCCCAGGGTGGAAGTGGGCACACAGGGGTTGTTGGAGACAAGAAGAGAGGGGAGAAGTTACTCACTTGGCCTTGACATTGAAGTTCTTGCCCAAGAATAGGTGCTTAAGGGATTTGTTCTTGCCAAGTGCGGGCACTAATGTCAGAAGATCAGAGTCGAACCCTGGGTCAGAATCACAAGGAGATGATTGGGTCTCCGGCTCATCTGTAGCCAGTCAAGGGAACTACGACAATCCTCCCCTGCTCCGACTTCCCTGCCTGAATTGTGCCCCTTCCTTGGCCCGGGCAGGCCCCTGCCCTTCTCACCATTGTCTGACACGTCCAAACTCCCCACCGCGCTGACAGCCCCGAGTTGCTCCTGGAGGACCTGGGCTCCTGCTGATCGAAGCTGCAGAGGAACAGGGACAGTGTGTCCTGGGACCTTGACTTTCCACGGGAGGGTCAATCCAGAGACCCAAGGGTCACACCTCTAGAATCAAGGTCCCTCCACCTAGTCCAGCCCATGCCAACCCTGGACAATGAAGCACTAACCTTGCCTAGTATAAGATTTAAGTCACCAAGGACTGCCTGAGGTGTGGACCTCCATCATCAGGGAAAAAAAAGGCCTAAAAGAACTCATACCCAACCTTGCCCATTCTCCCCAGGCCTTTCTCCTTCCTATTCTAGGCTTTGAGGTAACTCTGGCCTTAGATCCCCTAGCTGAGCACCCCAAACCATGGCCACTTCTGCCCCCTGGTGGGGAACCCTGATACTCTGAGACTTCCAACTTGAAGAGAGATAAGGGAAGAGTTAGTAAATGGTATAATAGAAATAGACCAACAGGTAATGGGTATGGGCATGTGGAAGGCAGTGGTGGATACAGGGCTAGAGAGGCAGCCCTTGGCAGACAACTGGATATTGGAGGAAATGGAGCTGAGCATGGTGCCTGGCTCATTGTGGACACTTAGTAAATACTTGCTGATGGACTGATATAGAATGAGACAGAAGGAGGGGGATGGAAGTCTCCTGGATCTCAACATAGGATCAGATATTTAGAGCTGCAAGGGAACTTAAAACTCAGCTAGTCCAACTGTTCTTTTAAACAGATGAGGAAACTGAGGCACAGAGAGGTTTAGCGATTTGTCTGATGTCACAAAGTGAGTAAGGAATGGAGCCTGTGTTCAAATCTAGTTCTTTTGACTTGAAATCTTGTATCCATTCTACTACACCATTAAGAACTGGGGCACAATAGAACCAGGATAGATGGGGGTTCTAGGTCAGAGGAAAGGGAGTGGGTCAGAGTCAGCATTTAGTGTCTCTCACCTCACAACTGCTCAGGTCAAGATGAAGATCACTGAGATGGCTGTTGAGAGAGAGGCCCTGTAGGAGTGCCCTGTGAGCAAGGGAATGACCATCAGGGAGGTGGATGGTGGGACTCCAGCTTCCAGCCATCCTGTCTTCCTTGGCTCATTCCCCTCCCTCCCACACCCAGCTCCCCATGCCAGTGGTTCCCAACCTGAGGGCTTCCAAAGGCAGACGTGTAGCTGACAGGTTGACGTGGCTCAGCGTATAAGCACTGCTGAAAAACTGCTTGAAGGCTGGTGGAGCCTCTCGGCCCTTCCTGCTGGAGAAGGGAGGGAACAGGCATTTATTAAGCACCTACTGTATGCCATGCACTGCTCTAAGCTCTACATCATTCTGGGAGTCCCTTACAATAACACTGAGGTTAGTGCTGTTCTTAGCTTCATTATGTAGCTGAGGAAACTGAGGCAGGCAGAGGGGATGGCAGGAAGACAGACAGGATCAAAGAGGCATGGATGGGTGGGTAACGTGGGGCACCCCCACCTGCATTCTTGCTAGCTTACTCCCCCAAGAACCATTTCCCTCTAATAGACCCCCACAACTTCACCCTGCCTTGCTCCCTAGGACACCTGTGGGAGCAGCTGTTTCGAGCCACGTTGAGGTAGGTTAAGTGAGAGCAGCAGCCGTGGAGAAGAGCACCCAGCAGCTATGAGAGAGAGAGAGAGAGAGAGAGAGAGAGAGAGAGAGAGAGAGAGAGAGAAAGGGAGAGAGTAAGCCAGGAAAGGGGCACCGTACAGAATGGTCTTGACCTCTCAGTTTAGCTCGGGAGAGCTCATACCCATTGGAATGAACCTAGCTTTAAACTATTAATTTCGCCCAGTCCCCAGACCCCACTGAATCTACCAGCCCACATGCTGAGGTCCCACCTCTAACAGAAGATGACAGCTTTAGACATGGCAGGGACCTTCAGGTGCCTCATTTTACAGACAGAAAAACTGAGAGCCAGTGAGGTTAAAATGACTTGCCTAAAGTCACATGGGTAGCAAGTAGCAGAGCTGGGATTGGGCTATCTATATAATAATAAAAATGGATATAATAATTCCCACTGTACTTTTTACCTTTGCCTCATCACTCCAGCTGGGCCCTTATAAATGCCCTTCCCCTGCAATTCACTACCCCGTGAATCCATTTCTCCCCCAACCCCCTCACTCCAGAAGTAGGAAGCCTGAGGGTAACACGTCCTGGCCCTGCTCCCCTCATCTCCCCTCTGCTGACTGTGTCCCTTTCCCTGATCCCATCTTTGGGCCTGGCTCCCCTGCTTTCTTTTCCCTATCCTTTCCTGGGTTGTCCTTCTCACCAAGTCAATTGCGCAGTCAGTCCCAGACAGATCCACGTGGACCAGGGCATTAGGCTGAGCCAGGAAACTATAGAGGACCTGAGACAAGAGCAAAGGAGGAAAGGTGGCAGGAAGGGGTGCTGGAGTGGGAAATATGGGGTCCCCTTTTCCCAGGGACCACAGTACAGAGGAGGCTCAGTCTTTGCAACTCCCTGCTTTGGTCAGGGGCTGATCTCTAGGTGGGCAGGGAAGACACTTTAGGTTCTTTCCAGAGGGGTATGGGTATGATGGAAAGATCCCCAGTCTTAGAGGTGGAAGACCTGGGTTAAAGTTCTAGCTCTGTCACTTACTAGCTAGGTGACTTTGAGCAAGCCAATTAACCTTGTGGGGCCTCAGTGTCCTCATCTGTAAAATGGGTATAAAAACTCCTTGTACTACCCACCTGACAGGATTGTTGTGAAGAAGGAACTTTTGCAAACCTAAAAAGTGCTGCGTCAATGTGAGTGATTATTATTTAAGTAGGGAAGGATTTGGGGAGTGTGGCTGGACCTTAACTCACATTGGCTTCATCAGTAGCGAGCAGCCCTGGATTCTTGCTCAGGTCCAGGTGGCGTAGGGAACTGGCAAAGGCTGGGTTGGCACCGAAGGTCTGGCCCAGCGCTAGGAGCCCTGGCCACGTTGGACAGTTGGCTGGGTTACCACCCACAACAGGCACAGTTATCCCCTTTCCCTCCCCCTCCCCTTTCCCCTTTCTCTCTATCCTCCTCAAATAGGTACTCTCCTCATGCCATCTCTCTGGCCCTGGCACAGCAATGTGGCCATGTTTTCTTAACCTTTTAGGAGGGAACGAGGATTTAGTACTCCAAAAGCAGAGTCTTTTTTGAAGGATAAGTTAGTCTCATAAAGGTCTGGGCAGTTCTAGGAGCTCAGCACTATGAGAACCACCCCCTGACCCCTGGTCAGCCCTGTGCTATTCTCACAGGGGAGTACCTCTGTACCTCGAGGGGAGATGGCAGTCTTGGACAGGCACAATTTGGTGAGGCCTGTAGGGAAGCAGAGGAGCTGCTGGCTTAGACTGAGAAGACCTAAGAGGGGACAAAAGACCTGTCTGAGTGATGGATAGATAAAACATGGGGGAGAGTGGAGCTGGTTTGGATTTAGGGCTAGGGTCAAGGATATGGTTGTTGGCACTGGGATCAGGGCTCAAGCTGGAGTCAGAATTGGGATCTGGGCCAGCAATGGGATCTGATTTCATAATTTTGAAGGGGAGCCAGCTTGGGAACTTTCACCTTTGTCCTCGATGGGATTGTGGGATAGAGTCAGGGCATGTAGCACACAGCTTCCATTCTCCCCAAACACCCCAGCCAGTTTCTGGGCAAAGTCCCTTCAGGGAAAAAAGAGGAAAGGTTTTGTCTCATGCTGGGATTACACGTGGCCCTCCCCACCCCCTCCCCCATCTCCATCCCCTGTAATCTCTGTGGTCCTGACTCCTAACTTTCCTAGTGACCTTGCTGCCTCTGGGTACAGGTTCAACCACTGATCTTGCCTCATGTGAATGGTGGATTCCCAAGAGGGAGCTGTCTTAGAGAATCTAGATGTCTGGGAGGGAGCAGGGAGACCTAACTTGGGTAGAATCCCCTTTAGGGCTATAGTTCAAACTTCACATACCAATGTAAACCCAACCAGGAATTTTTAAGGCTGGGATAGAGCAATCAGAAACAATAAAAGTTGAGCGTAAAGGAGCTACACCGGAACACAGACACTCAATTTGGCATTAATTACATGCAAATCATATGCAAGTGAGTAGCCTGCTGCCAAGGTGTAGGAGGAATAGCATTGGATTGGGAATCAGAAGATCTGAGTTCTACTGGCTAGCTGTGTGACCACAGGTAAGCCATTTAACCTCCTTGGGCCTTAGTTCCTTCATCTGTAAAATAGCGGTGTGGGGTGCTTCACTAGATGAACTCTAAGGTCCCTTCCAGCTCTAACATTCTGTGGCTTTCTAACCAGAGCTCTGGGAGTGTTCTGGCTTGGAAGAAGCTACTCCCAGCCTCCAGAGACTCACGTCTTGAGGCCAGCATTGTCCAGCACCAGTTCTTCTAAGCTCCCCGACTTGCTCAGGGTGTGTAGCACCTGTTCCAGAACCTCTGAGCCCTGAAAAAGGGGGGCACTGAGGTAAGGGCCTGGAAGCAACACTGTTTCTCCCTTCCCGTCCCACATGCTGGCCCATCCTGGTGCCTACCAGGCGTAGATCCTTGCAATGGAGTTTGGTAAACCACTGGTTGTAAGCTAGGGCTGCCACCATCAATGCCAGGTCCCTAGAGGGGAGATGGATAGACAGGCTGGGGAAAGTAGCAGGGGAAGGAATGCAGGAAATGCAAGAAGCCTGGATGGGATGGCAGGCAGTAGGTAGAAATGTTGGGGTCAAGGTGGAATCAGGTTTTGAGTTTCTAGAAAAGGGACACAATGGGAGAAGTAGCAAAGCTCAAGGAGGAATGTGGGGTGTGGATGTAGAGATGGGGGCTGGCCATTCTCGCCCCCTGCTGCCCCACCTGCTTACCGGCTCTCCAAGTGGCTGAAGTCCAAAAGATTGAACTCACGGTTGTCCTCTGCATGATAGATTGTGTCCACATCCTAAAGGAGATGAACCCCAACTCTCTCTTGACCCCTATCTCAGCCTCCCTGGTTTCCTTCCCCTTCCCTCCTTCTCTACTCCTGGATCCCATAAATACGCCAACCCTCCTTCTTATATCTGGAAACCAGTGAAGCCCAACTTACCCATTGAACCTCCTCTCGGCAGTGCAGCCCATTGTAGTCACACAGAGCAGCATAAGTCTCAGAGAAGCCACCTTCATGGAGTGGGGACATTTGTTGGTTCCAGGGGAGAAGTAGGTGCAAGGGGTCAGGGTTGAGGATGCAAGCAGTGTGATGTAAAGAAAGAGTGATGAATTTGAAATACCCAGGTTTGAAAACAGACAACGGGTCTCAAAGCTAGAAAGACCTAGGTGTCAGTCCTGCCTCTGACACATACTGGCTGTGTGAGCTCTAGGTAACTTGGATAGACTCTAAATTCCAGGAAAAATGCAGACCTATGCAGAGAGAGGAAGTTCCTCACCCAGAGCTGTCCTCTGATACTGCCATGACCCTGATGAAGGAATAGACTGAGTCCCTATTGTATGCCTACTGTCTTGGTAGGAAATTGACTAATCTATTCTACATGCCCGGGTCTCAGTTCTCTCATCTCTAAAATGAGGTGTTTGGATTAGATAACTTCTAAGGTCCCTTTCAGCTCTAAAATCCTACAAAACGTCAGGACTTTTGTGTCTTCGTCTCATATCTCCAACTAGTGACCTTGGGCAATTTACTTAATCTTGACAAGCCTCAGTTTGTCACTAATATAATATTTACATTACATTAAATATTATTATTAAATATTGAAATGTGTACTATTTGCATACCTCACAGGATTATTTTTAACAACAACATTTGATACTGATGGCTTGCCAAGCACTCTACATATATTATATTATGCTGTCCTCATGGCAAATAGTTTGCTTTTGTATAGGTCTATGGTTTCATTGATGTAGTCAGTTCCTGATAGTGATAATTATTCTGCAACTCTGTGGGAAGGTCTTCCACAGTAGGTGCCTCCATTTCTTTTCCTCTCACTCTCTTCTTAATTCCTTACTGTCTGGCTTCTGACCTCATCACTCAATCAAAACAGCCCTCTCCAAAGTTACCAATGATCTCCTGATTGCCAAAGATTGCATCATGGGCCATCACCATGACTTACGTCTTGCCACTGGACTCTGATGACTCTGGAGGAGAAAGTGAGGCTGATGACCTCACTTAAATCCAATTCACTCACAAATCAAGACATCACCCTAGTGATGTCAGTGGTTCTCTTCGAGAATGAAGGGCATACAACAACAATACCAGTTGCCAAACCAATGGCCTTTTCTCAATCCTCATTCTTCTTGACCTTTCTGTAGCCTTTGACACTGGTGACCACCCTCTTCTCCTTAATACTCTTCTCTCTAGGTTTCTGGGACACTACTTTCTCCTGGTTCTCCTGCTACCTTTCTGACACTCCCCCTCAATCTCCTTTGCTGGATCCTCATCCAAGTCATGCCCACTAACTGTGGGGGTCCCACAACTCTGTACTGAGCCTTCTCTTCTTCCTCTGTACTGTTTCATTTGGTGATCTCATTAGCTCCTATCGATTTATTATCATCTCTATCCTGATGATTCTCAAATCTATCTATCCAGCCCTAACCTCTCTGCTGACCTGCAATCTTGAATTTCCACCTGCCTATTAAAAATCTCAAACTGTATGTCCAGGGGCAGCTAGGCAGTGCAGTGGATAGAGTACTGGCCCTGGAGTCAGGAGGACCTGAGCTCACATTCAGCCTTAGACACATAACACTCACTTAGCTGTGTGACTCTGGGCAAGTCACTTAACCCCAATTGCCTCACCAAAAAAACCAAACCAAAACAAAACAAAACAAAAAAACTGTACGTCCAGCAGACATCTTAAACTCAACATGTCCAAAGCTGGGCTCATTATCCGTACCCTTAAGCCCTCCCCTCTTCTAAACCTCCCTTGTTACTACTGAAGGCATCCTCTCAGTCCCCAGTGGATGTCATCCTCAACTCCTCATTACCTCTCACCCCACCTCCCCCATATTCAATCTGTTGTCAAGGCCTGCAAATTTACCTTTGCAACATCTCCCAGATACACCCCATTCTTTCTTCTGATACTGCCACCACCCTGTTACAGGCTCTCATCACCTCACACTTGGTATATTGCAATAGCCTACTGGTTAGTATACGTGCCACAAGTCTCTCCCCTCTTCAGTCTATCCTCCATTTAGCTGTCAAAGTGATTTTTCTAAAGAGCAGGTCTGCATGTCACATCAACCCCCCCCCCAACTCAGTAAACTCCAGTGACCCCCTATCACTTCTAGGATCAAATACATAATCCTATTAGACATTCATACCCTGTCCCCTCCTTCTTAAACTTTACACCCCACTATGTACTCTTCAATCCAGTGACAATGGCCTCCTTGACATTCCTCAACAAAGCTCATCTCCTTAATCCAGGCATTTTCACCAACTGTCCCCCATGCATGGAACACTCTCCCTCCCCATCTCTACCTCCTGGCTTCCCTGGTTTCTTTCAAGTTCCAGTTAAAATCCTACCTTCTACAAGAAACCTTTCCTAATCCCTCTTAATTCTAGTGTCTTCCTTGTTAATTATTTTCTATTTATCCTGCATATAACTTTTTATTTGTATTTGTTTGTTGTTTCCCCTATTAGACTATGAACTCCTCAAGGCCAAGGGCTGTCTTTTGCCTTTCTTTGTATCCCCAATGTTTAGTACAGTGCTTGGTGCTTATAATAAATGCTTATTAACTGAATGACATATAGTCTTAGAGTCATTTGGGAAACTGAGACCAAGTGACTTATCCATGATTATATATCCAGTATGTCTCAGAAGCAAGACTTCTTGAAACTAAGGATGACTCTATCTACTTTGACACAATGCCTGGCATGAAGTAGGTACTAAAGTTATTATGATTCTAATATTTTAGATGAAGAAATTGAAGCTCATATAGGGTAGGTGATTTGTTCAGCATCTCACAGCTAATACATATCAGAGTCAGGAACCCTACCCAAGTCTCTCCTCACCCTAAGTCCAACACTCTTTTCCATTACATAAATAGAATGTCAGCTCCTTGAGGGCAAGTATTATTTGATTTATTTTGTCTTTTTATCCCCAGAACTTAGCACAGTGTAAGCATTTAACAAATGCCTGTTAACTGAATTCTATAAAAAGCTGCTTGTTGTAAGAAAATTATTTCGTAAAATACTCCATAATAATGAGCTATAATTATACATTACTGTAGTAATCACGTCTCTTCCTTTTTGTGTCCTTCACAGTGTTTTGCATGTAGCAGATTGCAATACTCATGCTAATGGGGTATCATAGCTGCTTCCAGAGACAAACTGGGGTGGGTAAGATCAGGGACAAAGCTGGGTTTAGGGTAAGTGTCTCCTTGGATAGGGGTGGGGTGGGGTGGGGGGAGAGAGTATGTCTTATTCTCACCACAGACACTGTGGGTGGTAGACGTGGAGGTCTCAGAGTTGGGGGACGTGTCCCGGGGCCCCTCAGGGGTCTCAGGGTTTCCACGCCGGATCAGGCACCTAGAGAAATAATGTGCCCCACCCAGAATGGGGTTGCGTGAGCTTTGTTTAGCTCCTTCCAAACCCCAGCTCCAGAATCTCTGCTAGATAACAGGTAGATGCAATGCCCGTGATCCAAATTCCTCAGCTTTGTCCTGAGAGCATGGGGGCCTTCTTGAATCTGTGACTCACCCAGGGCCTGGGCAGACCTTGGCTAGTGCTGTGCTCACGTGCCTGGTCACCTGCTCAACACTCTCTGCTGACGGCAATCGCATGCTCACAGTACCACGTTCTGTCTCCACCATGATCTGGGGAGAGACATATGGTGGCAGACCCCTAAATAAAACTCCAACCTCAGTCACCCCACTTTTCACCTCAATTCCTCCAAGACCAAACATAAACCCCACAGTTTGGTTTTTAAAACCCTTCACAACCTGGCCAATGCCAGTCTAGTCTTTTTATACCTTACTCTCCTCTACAAACTACACGAACCCAACATTCCATCTCCTGATTCCTTTTTACTGGCTGGCCCCCACAAGTGTAGTGCTCTCCCTCTTTCCTGGCTTCCTTCAAGACTCAGGTCAAATTCCACTTTCTGTAAGATGACTCTCCCAGTGTCTCCCACTGACAGCACCTTCCCTCTGAGATTACATACATTTTTGTATGCACATGGTGGTCTGTATGCTGTCTCCCCCTCCATCAGACTGTGGGCTTCTCAAGGACAGGAACTATGTTTTTGCCTTTCGTTGTATTCCCAGTGCTTAGCACAGTGCCTGGCACATAGTAGGTGCTTAATAAATGCTTATTGCCTTGCTGAATACTGAGGGTAAGCAATAAGCCCTTATATTTTTACAGCTTAGTTTTCTGCTCTTACCTGGTTCTGGTTGAGAGTGCTGAAGGTTCGGATCTCTAGGACATTGAAAGAGCTCTCCACCTGGGGCATGAGGGAAGGATGGATGAAGCTTAGTTCAGTTCAGGTGAAAGAGTATGGGCTGGTCTAGAAGAGCTTTGGGGCTTGACCCTACTCTCACCAGTTCTTTGAACTCACCTTAGCTGGGATTTTTAGAGGGAAGAGATGGAGGCGCCAGGCAGTGAGAGCCTAGAGTGGAGAGAAGAGAAAATTAGCTTGCTGAAGGATGTTACATTTACAATCCTTACTGAGTCTTAGTCTCCATCACTTCCCATAAGCTCCCCTCATTTCCATCATTATTATCCTTTATTCTTATTATTTAAATTAGTTTTTAAAAATTTTTGACCATAGAATTCAGATAGAAACACTCCTGGGCAAGTTGTCTTTTGCTATTATTTCATATTTAATGTTCTGTGAAATATTGCATAAATGAAATAACTGCTTTTAATTGCTGAATAAAAGTATTGGGATATAGGTTAATCTTCTGTAGACTCACAGAAAGCATCCTCAGAACAACTCCAGTAGCAGAGAGGATGATGGAGATTCCTGTTATTATTAAATGCAAGTTTAGTCTTCCTGCTCTCAGTCCTGTCCCTGTTCCTTTCTCACCCACCCTGGCCCCTCTTCTGCCAGCGTCGCCCCCTCACCAACACTCGGTCTTCATACTTCTTGGGCTTGGTCTCCAGTTTCACCCGATGCTGTTGGTGCACAGCCCCTCGACTCAGGCATCGACGGATGCTTTCTGTGGTAGTGGTGGTGGTAGTGGGAAACATGGTGTGAGTGCTGCTGCTCAGAGTAGTATACCCTTTACCCTTACTGAAGCCCCCTCCCCTGGGCACCCAGAAAAGAGAGAAACAAAGACAAGGACAGGAGCAGGTAAGAGGGAAAGATATAATGAGGGAATGAGACAGGAAACCCAAGAGATAAAGAGGGGCAAAGACACCACTCCTTCCCTGGGCTAAGTCTTTGGTATTATCTGGATGGGTCTATACTTCATAGCAAACTTGGGCAATTGGATGTCCCAAAGATTGTGTGTGTGTGTGTGTGTGTGAGAGACAGAGAGAGAGAGAGAGAGAGAGAGAGAGAGAGAGAGAGAGAGATTGTGAGACTATGTCACTGTGTGTGGGTGTGTGTGTCTGTGCACTTCTGAGGGTGTGAAGCTTTTTTCCAACCTGTGTTAAATAGTATTCATTGCATACAACAATGAGTCAATGTTACTCCGTGTATATGAGGGCGTAGTGTGTCCCTAGGACTGGTTTGGTATGAGGATATAGCCACTGCTTCACATTTGTGTTAACACCAGTGCATGTTAACTGAAGGTGTCAGTGTGACTACTTGCCAGTGGGTGGTGGGTATGAGTATGTGCTAGGGAAATATTATGGAGAGATAAAAACCAGGAAATCAGTTTGAGTTATTCCATATAGGAGGACATGGAGTAAGGTAGTGCCCATGTGAGTGTGCATTCAAGTCCCATGCCTTTCAGTTCTCAAAAATGTATGGTGTATGTGTGTAGGTGGGAGTGTGTGGGTACAGTGTGTCTATACGCCTTCCTGTTTCGGTTATTCTTCAATGTTTTGCCAATGGTTATATGTGCCCTGGTTGGATCTCCTAGCTCATGTCCTGTCCTTGGGCCAGTGATCCAGAGGACTGAGGGATGGGTTTGAAGATTACTCTTCACTTTGAGTGCTATCTAGGAACGCATATTAACAAGGAACGGCTTCAGGTTGGGGGAAGGGCAGGGGAACAGGAAATCGGTGGTGGGCACTGGGGGCGCCGAGGAAGTAGAATTTAACTCCAGAATCGCGTCTCTTCTCTGCTTTCCCTTCTACGACCCACTCCGCCCTGGCACTGCCCCCACCCATCCGGTCCCAGGGGCTCTAGAGGAGTCCGGGGTGGGGCAGGGTAAAGGATTATAGAAGCAGACGCAGCAGTCAGGACCAGGGGCAGCTCCCTATGTCTGCCTGGGCGGACCAGGCCCGGGGCAGCTGAGAAGGAGGAATCTTAAAGCTAGAAAACCCCGGGGATGGACCAAGGGACCGGTCAACGACCAGAAGCTCTGGATGGGCCCAATAGGGGAACGCAAGGAACTGCACCTGTCACGAAGGGGCGGGGCGGGGCTGGGCGGCCCGGGGACAGGGAGGTACAGACTGGGGTGAAACACCGGTCGGTCGGGAGGGGTGGAGGGGGGGCCAGGATGCGCTGGAGACAGCAATGCACTAGGGTTGCAATGCATGGAGGAACGCGATGCATGAAGCAGCGGGTTGCACCAGAACTGGGATGCATGGAAGAGAGGGATGCACGCGGGAGGGGGATGCACCCGGGGCTGGGATGTACTGGGGAGAGAAATGCACTGGAACGGGGATGCTCCAGGACGGGGCTTTTCCTGAGCCCGCAGCGCCCGCCCTCGTACCTTGCAGCTCGCGGGTGAGCTCCGCGCTGGGCTTGGCCATGGCGGCTGCTGCTGCTGCAGAGGAGCCGCCGCTGCCGCTGCCGCTGCCGCCGCCGCCGCCGCCGCCGCCGCTGCCCGGGAGCCGCGGCACATGCTAGATTCGGCTCCGGCAGGGCCCCGGCAGCTAGCGCTGCAGCAGCCGCTGAGCCTCGCTCACAGTCAGGGGCGGCTGCGCGAGCAGAACAGTCCTCCTCCCTCCTCCCCCCTCCCCCCTCCCCCGAAGCCGGGTCTCCCTCCCAGCCCCACGAGGAGCCGGATAGAGCATGCGCACAGGGTCTTCTCCGAGCTAGGTACCCCGAGTCCTGGCGTGTGCCTGGTTTCCGCGGGGCTCTTTAATACAATGCCCGGAGCTCGCAGTGCATGGGGTCGGCTGCTGACCTCCGACCTTGCACCGCCTACCGTCTGCTGCTAATCTCCTGTCCCAACCCCCCTCTTCTGGGCTGCATGTTCAACACTTTTCTTTCTTTTGTTCTCCGGGCCTGGACTGTCTCTATTTCTTCTCAGGTCATTCTCCTTCCTGTGCCCCTCCCCCTAGACTGACGCCACGGGTGGGTCACTCTTCCATCTTACCCCACGGTCACCCACGTGGGGGCTTTAAGGCCGGGCTAGGCTCAGGTTTCGGCTTGAACCTGTAAAGCTCGCTCTGTTCGCTGGGGGGTGGGGTGAGGAGTGGGATCTGTGAGAGGGGGTTTCCGCTTTCCCTTCTTCCCTCTCTTAGACTGATCTGACATGTCTCCACCGGTGCGTGCCTGCTAAGAGTAGCGCCCCAGGAAGTTCCCGTGGCCCCTTCGTCTTCCCTGGCTCTCAGCTTGGCACCTCCACCGCTTTAGCATCACACTTGCCTGGGAGGGAGCCCCGAGCAAGGAGGTGTAACACTGCCTTTGGGAGGCTCTCTGGAATCCCGTATAGCCTTGCCCAAGAAAAAAAAACTGCAGTTCGTTTCCTTTATTCCCCAAATGATGAATTAGCCAGCTAAAAAACCAACAGGATCGTTTGCGTGTTATTTGCAGATTTGTTTTATTTTTAATGGCACAGAAACCAGAGATTTGCCCCTTCCCCCAGTGCCTCCCCGGGCCTTTGCCTCCTACCTCCAGTGTTTCTAAGTCTCTTTTCTCTTCCCTGTCCCGGTCCTAGTCTCAGTCCTCACTCCCTCTTCCCTGGGTTTAGTTTTGTAAAAAGTAGATGGGTCTATTTGGTCTAGAAAAACGAGTACTTCAGTTCTACCTTCGTTCTCACGTAGAATTTTATACAGGACAGATTCCCTTAAGGACGACTTTTATTCCCATACATGGCAAATAGAGGGGTCCGTGGCTGCTTACACAGGCCATTTTTTTTTTTAAATCCAGGGAAGTCAGTAGGATAGGCAAGGTTAGAGGAGATCAATCTCTGAACTCAGAAGTCAAGGTCCAATCTTGAGGCTTCTCTTCATTATAGAAAGCTGCCAGAATCTCAGGCTGTTCTTCTAGGCTGATCAAAGACGGGAAGGGGCCCTTCCAGCCACTGCTATTGTTTCTCCCGTGATGTAGCTAGCATCCGGTGAACACAGGAAAGACACGATGCCTGCACATTCATGAGGCTCACCCAGTCTGGGAAACAATCATGATCTCAATAATAAGAATAATTACAGTTCACATATTAGCACTTTATGCAATCTCACTGGAGCCTCACAATAGTACTCAGAGGGAATAGGAGAAATGGGGGATACAATCAAGTGGCTTGGAAGCCTTGACTCAGCTCTTTCTAGTCAACTGCCCAAAGCAAATAACATTTGTTTGTTAACAGGTAGCAAATAGACTTCTAGCTACCAGCCTGCTCTGTTCCCTGTCCCTAATCTGTATCTGAAAATGTTTTGTAAATACATGGTTTTAAGAAATACAATACTACTACTACTACTGAAATAGGTAGACTTGTAGTTTGCAAGACTAGGTTCAAAACCAACTTCTGACCCATTGACCTAGTCCTAAGCTCTGTATGCTTCTAGCAACTCCCTGGGATTTAGATACTAAGTTACATGGACAGGTGGCCATCTTTGGTGGAGAGAGGTCTCCAATACCAGGAATTCTCCTATATTGATGAAATCACAGATATTTCATGTGTTTGTGTAATAATAATAATTCTACTAAAGTAGATTCCTCATCTTGGTGACCCTGAGTTCTTTAAAAAGAATACACACTCTAGGAGGTCTTACCAAGCTGGAATAGGATTCAAGTACAGATTAAGTGACAGACGGTCCATCTGTCCTCTGAGAACCAGCCTAGCTAAATTCAGGCTCATCAACAGATTGGCCAAAAAGTGATGAATATTTTGGTTGTAGCAATTCTCAAAGACCACCTATTATGTCACAGATGAATTGCAATAGGCATCACTGGAGGGTAAACCCATACTGATGAAATCATAAGCTGTTGAAGAATTATAGGAGTAATATCATAATAAAATAATTTGTATTTTGTTCAGACTTGCCCCGTGAGTACATTGATGTACAGAACTCCTAAAGTAAGGTAATCCCCTCTACCAATGCAAACTAGCAAATACTCAGTAACTTACAGACTTAGAGAACTGCTTTAGGAAATGAGAAGTTGAATTTTTTGCTCAGAGGCAAGTCAGTCAAGATGGGATAGAGATAGCATTTGAACCCATATTTTCTTGAGGCTAAGGCTGACATTTTACTTTTATATCACACTGCCTTGCTGCTATAAAATGATGATGACAAGTTACAGGTATACCTTGATTTAAGAAAACTCAATATAAAAAACCTAAAGTTTTGTTGTTCAGTCATTTTTCAGTAGTTTCTGATTCTTCCTGACCCCATTTGGAGTTTTTTTTGTGGCAAAGATATTGGAGTGGTTTTTCATTTCCTTGTCCAGCTCATTTTACAGATGAGAAAACTGAGGCAAACAAGGTTAAGTGACTTGCCCAGGGTCACACAGCTAAGAAGTGTCTGAGGCCAAATTTGAACTCATGGACGATGAGTCTTCCCAACTCCAGACCTGGTACTTTATCCACTGTGCTAACTAGCTGCCCCTATAAATAAGGGGTAGTGGTAATTATTTATATTACCACTTCACTAAAGATCACACTGAGAACTTTCTTTAAATAGCAACATTCTCTAGTACTCTCAAAATGTGTTTTGATTTGGCACAATTTAGTTTATATGTAGTTTTTCTTTTCAGAAATTCACTTATTGTTTAGAGTTAGACACAGCAATGAACACCATCATTACTGTATATCTATTCCCCAAATATGTTTCATTCAGTATTCATTCAACAAATATTTCTTAAGTGCTTATTATGTGTCAAGTTTTGTGGAAGGCAAAGGAAAGAGCCAAAGATACATAAGACATGATTTCTGCCTTCAAGGAGTTTACAATCTAGTGGGAGGGAGAGAATAAGACACATATATAGCTAAATATAATAAAAATTAGAATAGATCATGGTATAAAAGGAGCACAAAGTATTTCTTCAACAAACATTTATTAAAACACCTACTTCATGCTTGTTTGCAATGGCCTAAAAGCCTTTAAATGTTTGTGTATACTAGCATTAGTGACTTGTGTTCTGCTGTGGGGGATGGCACCACCACTTTCTTGATCTTCTGTGATACATCTGGGTTGACTGGGTGACTAGCCCCTTGCACTACCTCTCCTTCCTCACCCATCTATTCACCAAATGAATATCCTTACCTGGATATCTTCAGGGTATTCTTAATATAGGTCTCATTAGTCTTGTTTTCCCAGAGCTGTTGGGAAAAGGGAGACACTGGCATGACATTGCTTTTGTCTAAGAGGAAGAAACTGAGGGACATTGAGGGAAAGGGACTGGCTTTGTTTTTTACCAAAATGATTTAGGATTAGAGGCCAAATGTAACATCATGTCATCTTTTTCCTCCCCTTTCCTACTTATTCCCAGAGGTTTCTTCTGCTCTCCTTTTTTATATTCCTCTCTTTTGATCACTTTCGGGCTAGTCACTCCATTGGAGATAAGAAGGGTTACATGTGTCATCCCTGAAGGGGACACAGAAGAGATGGGGATGGAGGTTTTGATCCCTGTTTTCACCCCATATGTCACAAAAGAGAGGTAGGGGAGGGATGATATGGCAAGGGGATATCGGGAAGGCCAGACTATTAGACAAGAAATTGGGGAACTTAAGAAACAGATTGGGTCTCCTCCCCTGAACCTCCACAAGAAGATAACCATCTCTCAGGAAAAGAGGAAGAACCTCAGTAGAGACTCCCAGTGGGTGGACCCTGAACCTCCCTTCCCCCCTCTATCTTACCCATCCTTACCAAGGAGCTGAAGTTGGTTTTGATGAGACCTGGTGCCAGACAGTTTACTCTAATGCCCATTGGTTCCAACTCATAAGCAAAGTTCTTGGTGAGTGCCAGCAGGGCTGTTTTGCTGATATTATAGGGACCCAGGGACTAGATGGACAGAAAGGAAAAATGTGATTTTTTTTCCAGTTTCTATTCATTTCTGAGTTTTCTAAGTGAGGGGGTAGATGGAATCCTTATACTCTTTTTTTTTTTTAACACAAAATAAAATCATTAAGACTTGCTGGAATAGGACTCAGGAGTGAAATATGGCTCTGGCCATATTTCTTATTATCTTATTCAAAAGGGCCAGGACAGGCAAAAGGGGTAGTGGTGGTGGTGGTGGTGATGATGATGAGGTAGTATTACATGTTAAGAAGATGTGGGGATGGCATTCTGGGAAGATGCTGAAGTAGGTCAGAAATTTCCAGGTTCTCTAGATTTCTTCCACAAACAGAAAATGGCCACAAAATGAACATAGACCAGCAAAAATAAAGGGGTAAAGCATGTGTCCTCCTAAGATAACTTGAGAGGACCTTAGAAAAGATAAGACCTCCAGAGGCTGAGGTTTGGCTTGAATGAAGTGTAGACACCTCCAGGTTGACTCCACTGAATCAATAAGCAGCAGTCCCTGGGGTAGCTCTGTAGGGAATCTTACTAGGCTTCAAGAAACTTCACCTCAACTTTTACCTCACTCATGGCCTCAAGAAATTTCACCTTACAAGAAGTTAAGGAGGTGAATAGAATTTTCGAAAAGTTAGATATGTTAGACCTCTGGAAAAAATTGAATGGGGATAGAAAGGAATATACCTTTTTCTCAGCAGTATATGGCACCTACAGAAAAACTGACCAAGTGTTAGTACTATTATGTCTTGTGTACCTAACCTATTCCACTGATCCACCACTCTATTTCTTAGCCAGTACCAAACAGTTTAGATGATTGCTGCTTTATAATATAGTTTTAGATCTGTTAAAGCCAGGCTACCTTTCTTTGCATTTTTTTTTCATTAATTCCCTTGATATTCTTGACCTTTTTTCTTCCAGATGAATTTTGTTATTATTTTTTCTATCTCTATAAAATAATTTTTGGTAGTAGTTTGATTGGTATGGCACTGAATAAGTAAATTAATTTAGGTAGAATTGTCATTTTATTATATTAGCTCGGCCTACCCATGAGCAATTGATATTTTTCCAATTGTTTAGCTCTGACTTTATTTGTGTGAAGTGTTTTGTAATTGTGTTCATATAGTTCTTGGGTTTGTCTCGGCAAGTAGACTACCAAATATTTTATATTGTCTACAGTTATTTTGAGTGGAAATTCTCTTTCTATCTCTTGCTGCTGGACTTAGTTAGTAATATGTAGAAACACTGATGATTTATGTGGGTTTATTTTATATTCTGTGACTTTGCTAAAGTTGTTAATTATTTCAAGTAGTTTTTTAGTTGATTCTTTAGGATTCTTTGAGTTTACCAGCATAACATCTTCAAATAGTGATAGTTTTGTTTTCTCATTGCCTATTCTAATCCCTTCAATTTCTTTTCCTTCTCATTTCTAAAGCTAACATTTCTAACTAACATATTGAATAATAGTGGTGATAATGGGCATTTGTTTCACCCCACATCTTAACAGGAAGGCTTCTAGCTAATCCCCACTACACATAATGCTGGCTGATGGTTTTAGATAGATACTACTTATCATTTTAAGGGAAGCCATTTATTCCTATGCTCTCTAGTGTTTTTAATAGGAATGGGTGCTGTATTTTGTCAAAAGTTTTTTCTGCATCTATTGAGGTGGGGAGGGAGGAGGAGAAAAATTTAAAACTCAAAAGCTTTATGGAAGTGATTGCTGATAAATCCAAATAAATTAATAAAAAAAACCAGCTGCACAAAACTCCTGAAGCTTGGGACAGTGTGCCCTCCGAACCTGGAAGCAAAGCCCTACTTTAACAAAGAGTTAAAAAGTCAAGTAATAGGCTGGAAAAATGAGCAAACAACAGAAAAAAAAAACTCAGAAAGTTACTGTGGTGACAAAGAAGATCAAAATACACACTCAGAAGAAGACAATAAAGTCAGAGCTCCTCCATCCAACGGCTCCAAGAAAAATATGAATTGGTCTCAGACCATGGAAGAGCTCAAAAAAGATTTTGAAAATCAAGTAAGAGAGGTAGAGGAAAAATTGAGAAGAGAAGTGAGAGTGATGCAAGAAAATCATGAGGAAAGAGTCAACAGCTTGGTAAAGAAGACACAAAAAAAAACTGAAGAAAACAATGCTTTAAAAAATAGACAAGGCCAAATGGTAAGAGAGGTCCAAAAAGCCAATGAGGAGAAGAATGCCTTAAAAAGCAGAACTGGCCAAATGGAAAAGGAAGTCCAAAAGCTCACTGAAAAAATAATTCCTTAAAATTAGAATTGAACAAATGGAAGTTAATGACTTTATGAGAAATCAATAAACAATCAAACAAAACCAAAAGAATGAAAAAAAAAAGAAGACAATGTGAAATATCTCATTGGAAAAACAACTGACCTGGAAAACAGATCCAGGAGAGATAATTTTAAAATTATTGGACTACCTGAAAGCCATGATCAAAAAAAGTCTAGACATCATCTTTCAAGAAGTTATCAAGGAAAACTACCCTGATATTCTAGAACCAGAAGGTAAAATAGAAATTGAAAGAATCCACTGATCACCTCCTGAAAGAGATCCCAATATGAAAATTGCCAGGAATGTGATAGCCAAATTCCAGAGCTCCTAGGTCAAGGAGAAAATACTGCAAGCAGTCAGAAAGAAACAATTCAATTCAAGTATCATGGAGCTACAGTCAGGATAGCACAAGATTTGGCACTTCTACATTAAAGAATTAGAGGGCTTGGAATATGATATTCCAGAGGGCAAAGGAGCTAGGATTACTACCAAGAATCACCTATCTATCAAAACTGAGTATAATCCTTCAGGGGAAAAATGGAAATTCAGTGAGGTAGAGGCCTTTCAAGCATTCTTGATGAAAAGACCAGAGCTGAATAGAAAATCTGACTTTCAAATACAAGACTCAAGAGAAGCATAAAAAGATAAACAGGAAAGGGAAATCATAAGGGACTTATTAAGGTTAAACTGTTTACATTCCTATATGGGAAGATGATATTTATAATTCATAAGAACTTTCTCATTATTAGCATAGTTAGAAGGAGTATATATAGACAGAGGGTACAAATGTGAGTTGAATATGAAGGGATGATACCTAAAAAATAAAATTAAGAGGTGAGAGATGAATGTACTGGGAGTGGGAGAGGGAGAATGGAGTAAATTATTTTACATAAAAGAGGCAAGAAAAACTTTTACAGTGGAGGGAAAGAGGGGGAAGGTGAGGAAGAGTGAGTGAACCTTACTGTCATCAGAATTGTCTCAAAGAGGGAATAACATGCATCACTTGGGTATAGAAATCTGTCTTACCCTACAGGAAGGTAGGAGGGGAAGGAGATAAGAGAAGGTGGGGAGTGATAGAAGGGAGAGCAGATTGGGGGAGGGGTAGTCAGAATCAAAACATTTTTGACGAAGGACAGGGTGAAAGGAGAAAGGGAATAGAATAGATGAGGCAGGAGAACAGAATGGAGGGAAATACATTTAGCAGTAGTAACTGGGAAAAACTTTGAAGCGAGTTTCTTTAATAAAGGCCTCATTTCTCAAACATACAGAGAACTGAGTCAAATTTATAAAAATAAGAGCCATTCCCCAAAAGAACTGATGGTGTCTGCATACAGATTGAAGCATACTTTTTTTTTTTTGCTTTATTTTTCTTGAGGTTTTTTTTGGTCTGTGTTTTCTTTTACAACATGACTATTATGGAAATGTTTTACATTACTACACATGTATAACTTATATTACATTGCTTACCTTCTCACTGAGGAGGGCTGGGGAGGAAGGAAAGGAGAGAATTTGGAACTCAAAGTTTTACAAACAAATGTTAAAACTTGTTTTTGCATGTGACTAGGGAAAAATAAAACACTAAATAAATTAAAAAACACATAAAGAAGTGAGAAAACTGGGGGACAGGGTGAGGGAGGGACTTTAACAGCAGTGTGTGAATTGGGATTTGGGAGTGTGAGGGGAGGATATAAGGGGACTCTTGGAGGGATGTGGAGCTTGAGATTGGAGGGTCGGTGTAGAAGATAGGGGGGAATCTTGGAAGGGTGGGCTAGTGGGGGGAGAAGATAAGGTAACAGAGATAGGGTAAAAAGAGAGGCTGAGAAAAAAAATAGGAAAAATAAGATGGAGAGAAATTCACAAATAGTAATTATAACTTTGGATGTGAATGAGATGTTGATAGCAACTCTCTTTGTGGTGGCAAAGAACTGGAAATTTTAGGGATCCCCATTAAGTGGGGAATGGCTGAACAACTTGTGATTATATTGCTGTGATAGAACCCTACTGTGCTATAAGAAATGATGAGCTTAATGATCTTAGAAGGGCATGGAAAGACTTGCACAAAATGATGAAGTGAGCAGAACAAGGAGAACATCATATACAGTAACAGAAAAATTGTTTTAAGAATGACTTGAGTGACTAAGTCATTCTAACTATTATAAATATACAAATTAAGAATAAAGGACATATGTAGAAAGACAATATCTGCATCCAGAGGAAGAACTGATGAAGAGAAATATGTATAGAATAATTTTACATATATATATACCTATTTGTGTGTAATGATAGCCATCTCTAGGGTGGGAGGGGGAGTGGAAGGAAGAAAGAAAAGGAAAAAAATAGAAATTTATGTGATAACCTTGTATATTTGGAGGGAATAGCAAGTTATAAAAGTAGATTTGTAGATTCATGTGCAATGATCTTTTTTATTATACTGTGTTATGTAAATGCTTGTTTTGTTCCACGAATTGAAAATAAAATACATTAGAAAAAATAAAGATGAAGAAACTAGGGGGAAAAAAAGGTATGCGGCAGCTAGGTGGCACACTGGATAGAGCTAGCCTAGACTCAGGAAGACCTGAGTTCAACTCTGGCCTCGGACACTTACTAGCTGTGTGACCCTGGTTAAGTCACTTAACCCCAATTGCCTCCACAAAAAAAAAAAAAGAGAGATATGTTCATATGAAAGAAG